ATATATATATATATATATATATATATATATATATTAGTTGTAGAAAACCGTTGGGAAGGAACAGGGTGTTGCCGCCTTCATATTCTTCGCAAACTGCAATCTGGACGTCTTCGTACGACACCCACTGTTTGTTTAAACATTTATACCAGGGAGAAATTACTAGTGAAAAACAGTTCACAGTCAGAAAGGACGAAAGAAAAAGGTTTCAAAGTCCAACTAAAACTACGAAACCGGAGTTGTAAAAACAGTGCAGAACTATTCTGGAATGAAGGAGACCAAGGAACCGTCATGCAAGTACTTCTTCATATGTAATTCAACTTCAAGTCTTTCAGCACAGTGAAAGTCGTTTGTAGTAGAAGCTTTGAGTTCTTCTTTGAGGCTTACGCGAACTTTGCCGCTTTTACCAAAAGCACCTTCAATAATACCAACTTCGCCAGTGGACAACCGTACCTCCATCCCTTCGAAGGCAGTTATATCGGTACCCTTTTTGAACAGAGACGTGCATATCACGCTTCTGCTGCTTTCTACTCTTTCAATCCTACCAGTTTTCTTTTTCCTGCGGAACCGCTTAACCTGATGGACATCACTTAAGGCAGAAACAATTTCCCCGTAAAATGCAAATCGACAACCTTTTTCTTGGGTGTCAAGTTTTGAGGCTATATAAAAAGAACTGGTTCTGGCATAGACTGGTTGTTCAAACGACAAAAGTACATATCGAACGGACTTTGTTAGCTCATCTACAACCTCATACTCATTGGATGGATGAGTTCCACTCAAAAACTGAAAAGTTGCCATAATTGTTTCAAAACCAACGGAAATATGTAACTTTGCGGTAGGGCTCAAGGATCCTTTAAAGAACGAAATCGTCTTAACTGTAGCTAAAGAGCAATTTAGCTTCAATAATGCTCCAGGTTCACACACCACAAATCGATTCAGTCTTTTGTCAGGAAAATTTGAAACCAGCAGGGCTACGCGGTCACCTGCTTCAGCTTTCTGAATGTCTTTTTTCCAACGTTGCATTCCTCTGATTCTGTGCTTCATATTTAAAGTAGGAATTTCAATGTCCATACCAACTCTGAAAAACGTGTGCAGTCAGTTGAATCGCATCAGATTTAATAAATATCAAAGAAAACAAAACATGTCGGTCCCAATAGATACAACAACTACAGTGCTTTTCTATCCCCACCTCATAACATTTAGAATACGGTTACCGACACGCCCCATCTACAACTGTCCCCGTCATGACGTTCCCCTTTCCTTTAATAGGAAAGCAGTGGTCTACACTCATCACAAATTTCCCGCTTGATACTCGCTTGGGAGTGTAAAGTTGTGTCTTAATTGCCTCTTTTACGGTAACAACGCCGGCATCTGCCTCCTTAAGCATGGAGACGAATACGATTGGAGTGCAGTTAGGAATGTTTAGTTGATTCAAAGCCTTGGAGACTTGTTTCCGTGCGCGGGTAATGCCTCCTTCATCCACTAAATCAATCTAAAATAATATTTCGGTAGGAACAAAGGGGCTGTGATAATTTCAGACCAATAAGAAAAGCTAAACATAAATAAAACCTTATTCAGTACAATTATCACATGTTGAGGGCAGAGAAGCGACACCAGCAGCAAATGCTCGGCCGTTTGTGGCTCTATTCCCTTTGCCGCATTGACAATAACGATAGCCATATCAAAAACTGGTGAAATAGCAAGAACGGCCCTAAAGATATCTCTGAACAGAGCGTTTGCCTTAAGGAAAATCAATTCGATTCACTGGCACTGTTAAACAAACATCTAGAAAAAGCATCTCTGTAGAATAAAGGTTAAAACATTAAACCAATTCTCACCGACTGATCTAAATAAAGCTCATACTTAAGCTGTTTACCAAAACAGTGTACAACAACCTGCAAAAAGATTTGCGCCAGAAACACCTTTTTTTCGCTAAAAAATCTTTCAGTCGAACCTCCCAGTTAAAGGAAAAGTTTTGATGAACTCAATTACTTCCGAAATTTTTGTTCTTACCCTTTGTTCTTTCAATTCATAACAACTACAGTCTGCCATCTTCCTAAACAATCAAGCCGTTTACTACTGTTCAGATGCTTGGCATGAAACTGTAAGAAAATTGCGCTCACAGATGCAAAAATATCAGAAAATTAAACTGCTTTGATTTGACCACTACCATTATTACTGACCAAATTCGAATCCTTCTGTTTTTCAAGGAAAGTAAATATTATTCTTTTAGCTTGCAATTATCAGAGTAGTTCCACAACTGGCGAAAACAAATACATCTTTAAAAAATTTGCAAGATATAAATGATAACATACACGGAGCACGAAAAGCTAATGAACATATCCTCTACTAACTTTTCACTTTAAGGAAACCTCCCTCCGTCGTTACAGCCTGACAGTTCTAAGTAAATGAACTGGTTGCGGCAGTACGGTGATAAATAGCGAACTAAGCTAGGCAAGATCAAAGCTCATATCTAAACCTCAAGGATTTTCGCAGTCTCAAAAGTAAAATAGCGTTCTACGCCGTCTGGCAAAAGCTGAAAACCCAATTTTAAGCCAGTCTGGTCCGACGTAGTTTCAATCCTCTGTAGTCAAGCAAGTTGAAAGTCAAAGAACAACTGTGCCAGTCAGAAAACAACATGCTTCGGGAAGTTGCACCAGTTTAAATACTCATCTTCGTTTCCCCCTTTCAACCACCTATTAAAATGAACCTTCTAAACTACCATAATAATTGCTCCATTCCATAGAGGTAATACAAAAAAAGCAAATAAACAAAAAGCTATCTTAAGAAAAATTTGGTAAAAATTTTCTTAATAATTTGAAAGAGCAAAGATGCTTTAGACCTAACACGATTTTGGTAAACCTAATAATCCAAAGAGCTACAGTCAAATAAAATGCGTTTGGTGGAGTTTTTTGCAAAATGTAATGTTGACAACGATACTGAGGATCCAGTTGCAAGGGCAGTTTTATGTATCTTAATCTTATCTGTCTAATTTTACTTATTCAGACCGATCCTCTTTCTACCTGTAACTGCAAGAAACATTGTAAAAACGACGCATCCTTAAAATCGTATTTGAAGTGGCTAAGCAGCTTCTCGTTCTTCTAAAGCACTGCATTTACCAATCTAAAACAGGCTGTAAGATGTTCTACTGCCCTAAATATTGTTCGCAGAAAACGCTAAGCGCCTTCATTCCTGGAATTAGAAACAAGCAGAAAATTTTTTAAAAAAGTGAACTTGAGAGCAAGTTTAAAGAAATTCGTACAACAACAGAAGGGGAACAAAAGTTAAATTTGGGGATGTTTTTACACACAAAACTGAAATTACAATACTAAAATTGACTCAATTAGAAAAAAATAACATACCTGATCAAAGAAGCATGTCCAGGGCAGTCAATCAAAGCTATGTCCACACCATCTACATTGAACGTTGAAAACCCCAAATCGATTGTATTTGCGCGGAGATTAGAAGCAGGTGCATGCTTGTCAAACGCCGCTGTCGACCCAAGGGTAGACAAAAATTTGGCTAGAGTAGTCTTTCCGCTGTCAACATGACCAAGTATACCAACATTCATCTGCACTCCTGAACAAGTCCAAAAACTTTATGAAGAATTTTGGCAGGTCCTCCCATAAAATTTTTCACGAAATTAATGGCGGCCCTCCACCGTTCACCATCAGACAATGAAAAATTTACTCAGTCGTTAAATGTATAAAATTATCGTCTTAAGAAGATACAAGTGTTTGCCAAAATGAATGATCAGCGGTGACCTTACTAAATGCACATTTCACATCGTTATCTGCCAATAGCAAGCTCCTCTCATCAGAAAGCGGAAAAATGAAGGCTAGCGTACTTTTTTACTTCATCCCTCCAGAGGCGGGTCCTTAAAAAAAGGCTATGTTTTCGGGTTGTTGCACAGAGCTTGCGAACTGCTGAAACAATTCCTGTCTTCTACCTGCTTTCGTCTAAGCCTACTCCATTTAGAAGAGCTGGTCAATTACACCAGGTAAAAGAGCAGCAACGTAAGTAGCGCCATTCCCGTCTTGTTGCTGTTTTACATTTTTAAAGCAGCAGTCCCACCAAAGACGATAATGAAGTGCTGGTATTGTGGCATTTTCTGGATGATAAAGCACCGTCCTAGACAAACAGAAGCATGAACCAATTCTTCAAAAATTTAGCAACTTTTTGGAGGAAAATACGGAGCGAAAAAAATTTAAGCAAAAGCTTTGAAACCGCCTAGCCAAACCCTATAAAAAATTTCAAGAATATCCAGAATCGCTTTAGAAGCAGGTACCTCTCAGTCTCCTTCAAGAACGAATATACAACATCATTGTCCTTCTGTCTTTAAACTGTCACTCAAAGGCAAAAAAAGCGCGCAATACTTGCTCAAAAAATCTTATCTTCGTTCTTTCGCAGAGTAACTATCTGGTTAATAATCGGGTACCAATATGAAAAAAAGCAAGACTGAGAAGATGCACCTCTCATTCTTGATCAGTGCCGCTAAATTCGTTCAAAACGGTAAAATCCAATTAGCAAGACCGCTTTTTGCTAGAAAACTTGAGGTTTGTATCGATAATTCATTTCTGACGTTTCCCTCGTTACAAGCTACTAAACATTTAGAAGTTTGCCACGCGGTGGAAATGCTCTTCAGGTTCACTTTACTGCTCCGTGTCTTTCACTTTTTCAGTCCTTCGCACCCCTAACTTTTCTCTCTGAAAGGAGATATACCTGCCGCCCTCATCAAACGCCCACTGTTTTAGCGGAGTTAGCGGTATTAATGAATCGTAAACAGTTCTTTGCCAAAAATTTGACTCCTCTTGGAACTCAACAGTATTGAAGTGTCTAGCCCGAAAATACAGGAAATACGTTCTCAGAGATCTTTTAACTTCCAACCTGTCAAATTAAAATCAAAAAATTGTGCTGAATGCTAAAATACGTTAGTGTCTAGAATTCTTAAACTCCTCTAATACCAAAAATCTTTAAGCGGTAGAACCACACCGTAACCTCCACGCAGTTCCATAGTTCTTAATTGTATTTGCATAAATGTTTTTCCATAACAAGGCTCACTGGTTACTTTTTTTTAAAATATTCACACAAACTCTTTGTAAAGCGAAATTTGTTACTCGTCCAACATGTTGAAACAGAAGAAACTTATATTGAATCTTTAAAAGCTAGACGGCTGGCTGATCCACGGATCCATTCGATCCCGGTTAAACTCTAGTAAATTTCAGATTTAACTCCTAGTTCTCAAAGAAGTGTGTGCAGCAAAGACTTAACGATATGTTTTCAAGCCGTATACTACTTAATTCTTCAGTATTTTGTAAAGTAAAGAACCCAGGTAAAGAAAGTTGTAATTTACCAGTCATTGTTACCTTATATGCAGAAACGTGCTGGTCATAAAACCGAGCAAGTAGATACGTCGCAAACATAACAAAGAAAACGAGATTTATCCTAGACTAAAAAAAACTGAAGTAGCTTCTTAACACTTACTCGACAACGATCAAGTAACACAACGGAACTGTGCTGGTTGCAAATCTCGGTAAATATTAAATATATCAGTCCGTCAGTCCGTCAGATCAGTCCGTCAGAATCTTCTGCCTTTTATGCAGTCTTATAATATGAGCAGTTAAAATTGAAGATAAATGGAAAACAGGAAGGAAACAAACAACCAAGCTCCACAAAGGAAAAAACTATTTGCCAAGAAAGGTGTATCAGCCACTTCGTGGTCGGCCAGAAAATGAACTCAGAGTCTTCCTAAAACAAAAAGAAAGGAACCTCAACAATTTTTGCAACGCTCTATGTACTTTTGACAAGTAGCTACGGCAAAAGGCGTCCTCAAAAGTAGCCCATTTTGTTCATTTAGAACCTCCTTTACCGGACAGCTGTGAAGTATTAAACCACTCGCATCTAAGCAACACGTCAGCGTTAAGCTTTATGGAAGCAGCAAGCAGGAGACTGGTAAATGGGATTTATCATCAACTGTCGGTAGTTTTTATTAGGCTAAAAACCCTGCCTTCTCTTCACCATGCACACTATCGTCTAATATCTATCAAAAATGCAAGGGATAGCTTTCAGCACCACCTACTGACTTAACCACTAATCTCAACAAAATCTTTAAAAAACTTCTCTTTGAGCAACATTAACTGTATACCATTCGTAAACAGCTCAACAATGTTGTTGTTTAGTAAGAAGCAAGAAAAACTGCTAAGGAAACTCCACTTCCATTAAAATGCTTTTATTCAAAAAATACCTCCCAAAATTAGTCCCGTACAAATAAAATCTTATTTAAACAGCGATGCATAGTCAGGAAAACATGTAAAACAGGAAAGTTTTGTTCTCACAGCAATCTGGAAGAAAAATATACAGATAATCACTCAACAGCATAAGATCCCCTACATATATATAATCTTATTTGTGCATTAACAAAAACAATATTGCCATCAACCTTCAACAACCCATTACACATAAAGGAATGC